AGGCCACACGGCCAAAATTAGTAACGATTTCATAAAGCTCTCATGAGCTAGTGTGAACGCCGGATAATCCGGACACCGGCTAGACCGGATATTGGACACCGGGCAGACCTGACAACAGGCAGACTGGACAAGGAGCAGGCAACAAGGAAAGCTATCGCAAAAAAATTCTTTCGATTGAATAAGCAAGAAATTAACTTCTCTTCTAAAAGTGTTGTAGAGCAGCCGGTCCATCAGCAGGAGGACCACACAAGCCGGGATCATCTGGACCAGCAAAAGGGCGCGGGATGCAGTATAGATGACTGGTGGCGGGGTATATATAGCGTTGAAGGTTCCCGGGCCACCCAGCGCTGTGAGGGGCGCCGCTCCACCAGACTCCCGCCATGCCCACACACTGCCCCGTCATCCCCCGCCATGCCCCGTCATGCCCACACACTGCCCCGCCATGCCCACACACTGCCAAATCGTCCAAAAATTACATTCTTGAATGCCCTGCCATCTATACATTCCCTTCGATATTATATTGTACAATGTACTTGTTTGACTAATTTCCAGTCCACTGATTTAAGAGAGTTGGTGAACCCCATAAACATTCTGCATTCTGGAACATTTGAATGACACCTGACCTGAGTTTGAGTCATAATAAAAGCGTCACTTATATAATAATTAAAGAGTTTCCACGCTGTGAGAGGGGGGGAGGGAGGGGCTCATGTTGCAAGTTTGTACCCAAGTACGAAACTACGCCTGTTTGTACGTAGTTATCTAACTTATCAAGTCTGATGACCATTATGTCACTAAAAACATACATTTCCTAATTGTGATATATTCATTAAATACCAATTATCTTTTACGCGTGTATCCCTTAGCGTGCAAAAATAGATAACCTTTTGTAATTATGCATGATTACCTGCACTCGCTCCCAGGATATTTGTACAGGAGAATGTCTGCGAGGCTCACTGTGTATTTTATATCCTGCTGTATCAGCATCTCTTTGTATCCAGCTGACTCAGCATCTCTTGTATTCAGCTGGCTCAGCATCTCTTGTATTCAGCTAGCTAAGCATTTCTGTTGATACGAAGCTGCCAGGCAGTCTAGTGGTTAAGCTTAAGATTAGCAAACTACAGCATCTTTCAGTATTCTTACAGCCCAAGCTGCTGCTACTACTCGCAGCAGCAGTTTGGTACAGACGAGTACTACACTGTGAGTACAGCCGAGTACCCGTCTGTACTCATATTGTGGGACAAGCTCTTACGACCTTTGGCCATTTCCATGACCTTTAAAAGTATTAACTATCCCCCCCACACCCCCCAAAAAAACTACTTTGGGGTTGCTTAAACTAGAGACCAAGGTTAGGCTATATTTGGCCTCATTTTAAATACTCTATGATCATGCAGCCCGTTCTCCTAAGGTTTCTCAACGTCTAGAAAACGGTCAATGTAAAGTGACCTCTCGTAATCTACCAGAGGACCCAAAACAGAAAACGGGACAGTACGTCACTTTCGCGAACCGCTTCCATTTTAGAGTACGACCATTTTTGGCCTCGTGTAACGCATACGAGCGAAAAGCGACGTTCTTTGTAGGAGGACAGGTTGTAGGAGGACAGGTTTTGGGAGGAGAGGTTGGATCATAATACACTAGAAATGGAAGGGACGACGACGTTTCGGTCCGTCCTGGACCATTCTCAAGTCGATTGTGATGAGGACAGGTAGGGACAGGCATTAAATAGGCAAGAGAGAGCTGAGGAGGAAAGTCAAGTGTAGGGGATAGTAGTAATGAGAACTGCAGCAGGCCTATTGGCCCATACGAGGCAGCTCCTATTATAACCACCGAAGGAGATAGTAATAGGAATAAGAAGAGGATAGCAAGGGGGCGTAGAAGACAAAGAACAGAAAAAGGGAGAAGAGAGAAAGAAAGGGAAAGAGAAAGAAAGAAATGGAAGGGGGAAAGCTTATGTTAAATCACGTTTGTTAGAAAGATTAGAGCATTTGAGTATATACTGTGAAAGGGAAGAGTCCACAGCAACAAAGCCAGGACTCAAGTTCATGTTGGGTACATTGTTAATAAGAGCCGATTCTACAAGTTTCTAGTGTGTGGTCTGGTCAACATACTTCAGCCACGTTATTGTGACTCATCGCCTGCATATGGATCATAATATACAATATGATGAGGAGAATGAATGAATAAGCTTCTTCAAATTTAGAGAAAGCAGCACAAGAGGACACAGATGGACGCTGGAAACGCAAATTAATCGAAGGAATATAAGGAAATACGCGTATCCCGTTCAGGGAAAGTAGAAAGTAGAATGCACTGAGAAAAAGAAGCTGTGATAGCCACCTCCATCCTCAACTTTAATGCCAGATTCGGCAAAAAATCAGAATGTCAGAATGGTTAAACTGTAACCCAGTATGCCCCCTTGCCTACTAGTACAAGGCTAGTACGCGGGCAGCATGAGGAGCTAGACTTGACTTCCCCCATAGACATTCTTAGGTAAGTACACCACACACCACTACACCCCAACGCCACACACCACTACCACCACCACCAACAACAACAACAACAACAACAACAACAACACTACACTACTCCAGCGCAATCAAATAAATCAAAATACAAGTACTAAGAGGTCGGGAAGTGGGTCAGATAGAGTTGTGGTGAATGCTGTGAAGGAGGGGGAGGGGGGAGGGGGAGGGGTAGACGGGGAGGGGGTGGAAGGGGGGAAGAGGATGGAACAGAAGAAATAAATGGGTGGATGAAGGAGAGCCGATAACATAAAGAGGAAGGACAAAGTGAGAGTAGGTTAAAGGAAGAATGAATGGGGGACGACGAGAGAGAGAGAGAGAGAGAGAGAGAGAGAGAGAGAGAGAGAGAGAGAGAGAGAGAGAGAGAGAGGGCAAAGAGAGCAAAGAGAATGGGAGAATAACAGAGAAGAGTGAATGGCAGGGAAGGGAAGGGAGCTATTAAAAAACTGTCCCTATATTGTTTTTCCTGTTGTTGTTGCTTACCATTCAGTAACTACGGGGAAGTGAGGTGTAGCTCTGCATGCCCCGCCTTCTATACTCTTGATGTACCTGATCTGTTATAGCTTAACTAGTTAATGCTGTAGTTCCGTTAACTAGGAATAGCAACAGAATTCCTTCTGTTGCTATTGCTAAGCAACAGAAGACAGCGAGTCACTGTAAGGGGTGAGGTCTCAAAGTGGCGTGACGTCACCAGTGGAGTCCCACAGGGATCAGTCCTTGGACCTATCCTGTTTCTCATATATAAACGATCTTCTTGAAAGTCGACTCATTCCTCTCAATAATTGCAAATGATATGAAAATTATGAGGAGGATTAAGACGGGAAGACACCAAGAGACTATAAGATGACCTGGACAAACTGAAAAAATAGTCAAACAAATGGCTACTAGAGTTTAGCTCAAGTATATGTAAGGTAATGAAGATAGGTGGAGGGAGCAGGAAGTCAGTCGTAAGGGACCAAATAGGGAAGGAAATCATATAATAACGAATAGAGAGAAGAATCTTGGGGTTAGTTATCACATCGAACCTGTCCCCCTGAAGCCCACATAAAAAGGTTATCATCAGCGAGGTATGCGATGCTGGCTAACATCAGAACTACCTTTAGAAATTTGTGTTAGGATTCATTTAGGGCTTGGGGAGTAGAAGACCTCCCAGAACCCCATCCAGGAACAATCCAGGTACAGGTCCACAAGAGACGCACAGGAATATCTGAGCCGGCCGGCAGTGCGAACACCATCCTCCTGCCCTCGGAACACATCTCTGAAAATACCCGAGTACGAACTGGATATAAAAGTCTAAAATATGCATTAGTAGCTGACACATTGACGTCTGGGGCTGACGCACCCAGCCCTCGTCGGGTCGAACACCCACTTCAAGATGACTTCTCAGTATTCCCCACTGTTACCTGTTTGTTCTGTAACACTGTATTTGGCGTCCTGCGGCCTGTTGTGACCCCATCCCCTGAGAAAGGGGCCAAACGGGGTGTTATATATATATTAACTCTGGTAATATTGTTATTGTTGTGGGTGATGTTGGAGTGCAGCGGCGAGGGGTGATGATAGCGAGGCGCAGGGGGAGGCGGGGTGCAGAGATGACTGTGATAGAACACGACTGTCGTTAAGGCACTGTGGCCTGTTGGCACCGCAGTGCCTGCGTCGTGGCCTGCTGACGCCGCAGTGCCTGCGTCGTAGCCTGCTGACGCCGCAGTGCCCATAGGACCATAGAAAAAACTGATGGCTTCAAATTAGAGCTGAGGTTTAAATTGGCAAAAAAATAGCATAAAATTAGGGGGATAAGAATATCTAAGACAGTTTTAAAAATAACGACATGAGTGTCCCGTGAGTATGAGGAAGACACATGAGTGTCCCGTGAGTATGAGGAAGACACATGAGTGTCCCGTGAGTATGAGGAAGACACATGAGTGTCCCGTGAGTATGAGGAAGACACATGAGTGTCCCGTGAGTATGAGGAAGACACATGAGTGTCCCGTGAGTATGAGGAAGACACATGAGTGTCCCGTGAGTATGAGGAAGACACATGAGTGTCCCGTGAGTATGAGGAAGACACATGAGTGTCCCGTGAGTATGAGGAAGACACATGAGTGTCCCGTGAGTATGAGGAAGACACATGAGTGTCCCGTGAGTATGAGGAAGACACATGAGTGTCCCGTGAGTATGAGGAAGACACATGAGTGTCCCGTGAGTATGAGGAAGACACATGATAGTATGTGTCCCGTGAGTATGAGGAAGACACATGAGTGTCCCGTGAGTATGAGGAAGACACATGAGTGTCCCGTGAGTATGAGGAAGACATATAAGTGTCCCGTGAGTATGAGGAAGACATATAAGTGTACCGTGAGTATGAGGAAGACATATAAGTGTACCGTGAGTATAAGGGAGACATGAAGGTCAGGTCATCATTCCCCGGAGTCACCATAATAGCACCTCATCATTCCCAGCCTGAGTGTGGTGTTGTGTCTCCTGCAGGAGTGGACGCGGCAGCAAGAGGAGTCTGAGGTCGCCGCCCGTCCAGCGTCAGCGGTGTGTGCAGCTGGAGGGCGGTGAGGAGGAGGGGGCGGCGGCCACTCAGCAGGGCCGCGCCGCCCCCCGCCCGCACGCCCCTCCACCCGACCACAGAACCCACTCCAGGGACATTGTCCTTGAGGTAAGCATTCTCTCTCTCTCTGTCTCTCTCTCTCTCTCTCTCTCTCTCTCTCTCTCTCTCCTCTCTCTCTCTCTCTCTCTCTCTCTCTCTCTCTGTCTCTCTCTCTCTCCTCTCTCTGTCTCTATCTCTCTCTCTCTCTCCTCTCTCTCTTCTCTCTCTCTCTCTCTCTCTCGTCTCTCTCTCTCTTCTCTCTCTCTCTCTCTCTCTCTCTCTCTCTCTCTCTCTCTCTCTCTCTCTCTCTCTCTCTCCCTCTCTCTCTCTCTCTCTCTCTCTCTCTCTCTCTCTCTCTCTCTCTCTATCTCTCTCTCTATTCTATCTCTCTCTCTCTCTCTCTCTCTCTCTCTCTCTGTCTCTCTCTCTCTCTCTCTCTCTCTCTCTCTCTCTCTCTCTCCTCTCTCTCTCTCTCTCTCTCTCTCTCTCTCTCTCTCCTCTCCTCTCTCTCTCTCTCCTCTCTCTCTCTCTCTCTCTCTCTCTCTCTCTCTCTCTCTCTCTCTATCTCTCTCTCTCTCTCTCTCTCTCTCTCTCTCTCTCTCTCTCTCCTCTCTCTCTCTCTCTCTCTCTCTGTCTCTCTCTCTCTCTCTCTCTTCCCCTCTCTCTCTCTCTCTCTCTCTCTCTCTCTCTCTCTCTCTCTCTCCTCTCTCTCTCTCTCTCTCTCTCTCTCTCTCAGAGGTTGATGTAGGAGTTTCTACTAAGCTTGGCTTCGTTCCCGCAGCTTGACGCCATCCGCGGGACAACGGGCGCCTCGTCAGAAGTGCCGCTGGTGGTGGTAGCGACGGCTGAGGGCGGCACCCGCACGCACGCCCTCAGCCGCACGCGGAGCCGCCCCGCCCACCCGCCCACCTACGCCCACAGTGCCTCACCCGGGGACCCCTTGCCCAGGACCCACACATATCACAAATACGGCAGCGCCAGCTTCGACCTGGCCAAGCCTTACGAGGGAGCCCGCGCCGCCTTCCACACCTCCCGCAGCAGCTTCGAGGGAGACCGCCGGCTCTCTATGAGTGCCGCAGGCGGCAGAGGAGGGTGCGAGAGTGTCCTGCCGCCGCCCGCTTGCGACAAGAGTCCCGGGTCAGCGCGGCGGCTGCCCGCCATGGAGGCGGGGTCGCCGCCCTGCAGCAGCAGCAGCAACAGCGACAGGACGCTGCAGGAGAACCTCCCTCGGGGAGGCTTCCGCCGCAGCAGGAGTGAGAGGGCGGGAGGCTCCTCGGTAGGAGCCTCTCCCGCCCGCAGCGAGTCTCTCAGAGTGAGCAGGAGCCGCGCCCGCCACCAGGATGTGGAGATGACGGAACTCTGCTCTCCCAGAAGACTCCACTCTTACGACGAGTACAGGTGAGTGTCTGCTGGCAGGCAGACTTCCCTCCCTCCTGCAGCCCTCCTCAGTGTCTCGGGGTCATGCTGTGTACAAAGTTAATATTGTTATTGTTACATTAGTGTATATATTGTATTAACATACGGCAAGATGGAGTCTGAGTGTCTCCCACACTATTCTCCCACAGTGTATTACTGTCTCCCACATTCCCATACAGTATCCTTCAACCATCCCTCTTTCCCCCACCCTACACCCCCATCCCAGTAAACTCCTCCCCTCCCACCCCTCTCCCACCCAATCTTCAGTCCCCCAACCACAACAGAACCTTTCCCCACACTCACAGTTACCTCACAAGCAGCACAGCGCTCCCACACTCCCACATTTCTCCTGCAGCAGCAGACTAGCGCCGGAGGGGAGCGTCAGCCCTGTGGGCGTTCCTGTGGGCGTGACGTCTGCGGCGAGGTGGAGATCGGGCGGCCTGGCGGGACGGAGGCAATCTTCCCTGGAGAGTTGTGAGCTGGAGGACCTCATGGAGAACAGGAGAAATGTGGAGCAGCGGCGTCTCCTCCTACAGGCGGACTCCACCACGCCTTCTGACGAGGACGAGGAGCCCAGGAGCAAGGTCCGCTACAACGACATGGGCTCCCTCGAGCAGGTGAGGCGCCTGCACCCTGTCTCACACTGATACAGCGCTACATCACACTGAACCATAACATCACACTGAACTAACTCCTCATCACACTGTATTAACTCTTCATCACACTGAACCATAACATCACACTGAACTAACTCCTCATCACACTGTATTAACTCTTCATCACACTGAACCATAACATCACACTGAACTAACTCCTCATCACACTGTATTAACTCTTCATCACACTGAACCATAACATCACACTGGACTTCTGTACACACTTCTTTATAAAATGTACATAACATGTTAATTTAGAAACCCTTCGATCCATTAATTCACATACTTGATCAATTTAAAATTGAATGTATATTATTTTATATTATTTCAAATAGCTTTTTTATTGTTAATATATTGAGCGCTTCTTCTTAAAACATTGAATTAAATATTTTGTTCAATTTCTGTATTAAAATGTTCTTTATAGTGTGATCAAAATTATATATTGAAGGATTATACTTTCAAAGGGTATCGTTCATTATATAAATTGAATGTTCAAACAAATTTTGATAGTGAAGGAAGTTGATGAATATTGCCGTAGTAGAGAAGCAAAGGTGACATAGGTGTTTGTAAAGAGTTGTAAGGTGATAGTGGCGTGTCCCACCAGGTGAACGAGGAGATGGCAGACCTCCTTGACGACTCTAGCGTCGCATCTTCAGACAACCAGGAGAAGATCAAGGTAAATTGATCCCATTCCCACATCCTCCCCTCCCCCCTTCCCCACCCCACACGGGTCAACATCTTCACAACTCCCACCTGGGCCAGCATCTTCACACCCCCACCTGGGCCAGCATCCTCACCTGGGCCAGCATCTTCACACCCCCACCTGGGCTACTTAAAGCTGTACCTTAGACACCTTCCGCCCATCGCTTCATCCCTCTCCTTTACGCACCTCATCTCACATCACATCTCTCATGTCACACACTTCATATCACTTCCTCACACACCTCATCACCCGCCGCTTTCTTGAGGAAATAACAAATATTACATCTTTATAACGTTAGACAATCAAACCCCAAATTCGTTCTTTTTTTTTTTTTATTAACATATTAGGTACATCTGCATTAGTGCAGCTACCCTAGACTATATGAAGTGGAGTACAGTGTGTCAAAAAAAGCTAACTAGGTGATGCTATAAAATCCCCATCACACAGGATGGTTAGTCATACAGAGGCATGTGATTAGCGGTCTGCACTGGCAGACTCCGGATGCATTTTGAGGATATCAACAACACAAGATTGAATAAGGTAGCAGTGGTAATACAAGTCCCCATCTCGCAGGATGGTTAGTCATACAGAGTCATGTGTTTAATAGCCTGCACTGGCAAATTTTGGGTATACTGTGAGGATATCTTCAAGAATACGAGAGTGAATAAAGTAATTGCAAAGCTCCAGGTACCTCATGCCAACTGGTCTGAAAGGTCTAATAATGGGCATTCAGTGATGTAGTGCGGGAGATCATGCCGTAGTTCCTGCTCACAGAGTTTGCAACTGGAGTGCTCAGGATTGGGAGACCCGTCACCTGCAGCCACCTGCCACAGGTAACGGTAACCCAACCTGATCCTTGCAACCACTGTGTCGCACAGTCTAGTGGACGTTTTGTGCTGTCCATAGATGTAGGTTTCAGATCTGAACAAATCATAGCTTTTTATACTAGTACTTCAGGTCGTTGGGAGTCAGTAAGTTCTTTCCTATCAGATCTGAATGTTTGGACAATACAGTTTTGACAGGGTGAAGTTGATGAAGGTCACTGAACATTTTCCCCTTCAGAGCTGATCTGCTCAGCAGTGTGTGTAGGCCAACGACTGGGTGGGGCGAGATCTGTACATTGTAGTGCTGTAGAACACTACTCCATCACACCCCCCCCCCCTACAACACCCCACAACACCCCCTACAACACCCCCTACAACACCCCTCGGACACAGAGGGGACACTACCTTCTGCTCGCTCCTTCTCCTGCTACTTCAGCACTAACTGCAGCTACTCGCCTCAGCCACTAAGTGCCACTCTTTCCTCAGGTGCAGTGCCGCGCCTTGTGGCAGCTGAGAGCCACGCTGGAGGAGGAGGACCCCGAGGAGCCAGACTCTGACTCCACCAGGATGGAGATCCACAGTTCACCGGACCATCACTCCCCGGGAAGAACGTCTGGTGGGTGGCTCTCTGTGGGTGCCTGTGGCACTGGTTGTCACGGGGCACTGGTACTTCACAATCAATGAGTGTACCTTGTACATTCATGCCATTATCAAGTGTTATTGTGATATATATACTCCATAAGATAGTAATATACGAGAAATCCTTAGGAGCCGTGAGGAGGGATCGAACCTATGCACTGGGTACTCCCAAGCACGCTCTAGACCACTACACCACCACCACATGGTCAAAGGTATTGCAACCTGAGATTCTACCGAATCCTCTAGGGGTGCCCGAGTCTTCCATTGAAGCCTTAAGGGTTTCACACAATGCCCCACATGCTCTCTGGCCTGGGGTCTAGGGATGCTACCTCCTACGCTTCTCTTCAAATACAGAAAGAAATCGTGTTGCAGTGGGGGAAAGTGTGTCTGGGAGTAACCTAGAGCACAAGTTCGAAACCCTCCTGATGACTCCTACACATTTTCTCAGTGATTCATCACGTTAATGTGATTTCTTTGTGTAATAATCATTTATATAAAAATAAATTTAAAAATATACTTTTCCAAACTAATCATCATATCAAATATAACTTTTTATGTCATTCTAAATGTGAGAGAAATCGTTCCCAATTTTGCCTGTGTTTGTAATGAAATATTTCCGCCTAGATCCATGACCATTTCAGATGCTTAGACATTAATTTCAAACACAACAGTAGCTCGGGCCAGCACACCGCTGGAGTCTGGACACTCGGGGCCCAACACGACACTCCCTAAAAATGGCATGAAAGTTACCTTCTTGTAGGCGATGAGTCACAATAACGTGACTGAAGTATGTAGTATATTTGGTCCAGGACGGACCGAAACGTCGTCATCCCTTCACCTTCTAGTGTGTGGTCTGGTCAACTTACCTTCTTGCCTCTTACAGACCTCGAGAACGCCACCAGCGCCACCAGCCACACCACCTCCTTCGAGAGCAACACAGAGGCTACCGTGGGCGGCGAGACGGGCGTGGGCGGCGAGGCGGGAGAGACCGAGGAGGCCGAGGCTGAGGAGGAGGAGGAGGAGGAGGTGGAAGTAGTGCAGGACAGAGGCCAGGAGGCGGAGCCCCTGAACTCAAGCCTCACTCTGCCGTCGTCGGAGTCTAGACGAACCTCGTACAGGGCCATCCTTGCTAATAGGCTGAAGGTAAGACATTTTTTCATAGTTTTGATTAATGTGAGGTTATTATTATTAGTATTATTTTGACGTTTCTGAGTTGCAAGATTGAGCAATGTGCCTAGCAACATCCTGGCCTGGTGGGTAGAGCGACGGCATCGTGTCCACACACTTCAGTTCAGTCGCCGAAAATCCAGATGAATTCAATGTGATTCCCTGTGATTGTTGATGAAGGGAATCACAAAATTGTCTTGTTATAAAAGACAGTGCACCCATCCCCGGGGAAAGAATTGCCCAGAAACAGGTATAGATTAGCTTAGAATGGTCTGAAGAATTAAACGGTCAGAGAATAAGTATGAAAGATCAAAGAAAAAGCCTCATTGATCACACACATAATATATGATTATAATATTGTAATGAGATATTGTCATCTTTTCCGATGTAATTTCGGAAAGGACATCTTTCTTTTCCGTTATATATATATATATATATATATATATATATATATATATATATATATATATATATATATATATATATATATATATGCAAATAACCTCAAAAATTATAACAAATCTCTGAGCATTTTTGTGTTCTTCAATTAACCATCAGAGGCTTACTGTAAAATATTAATATGTAACAGTAAGTATAAGAGAAAATAAATTTATATATTGTTATTTAATTGTTTACCAACTTTACATGTAAAGAAAGTATGTTTCATTTTACTTTTTTTTTTTTTTTGAGATATATACAATAGTTGTTACATTCTTGTACAGCCACTTATATTAGGAATTTGTAACTATATATATATGACTGGCCATGACTTAGTGTTTCCTTACTCCACAGCACCTGGATGCCTCCTCGCGGCCGCCGTTGTCGGCAGAAAACAGCTTCGACTCTGTGGACACTGAGTGTTCCTCCACAACGGACCTGAGCCGTCCCGAAGGTCTCACCACCAGCTTCGACTCAACCACGGACTGCCCCACTGACTCCACTAGTGACACCCACTCCAACCGCCTCCAGCAAATGAAGGCAGACAGCGGCTATCGAAGTCTGGAAGTCAACAACAGTCGTCCTCCTAAGTTGAGCAAAAAGCAAATTCACTTCGTAGAAGATAGTTTAGAAGTAACAGACGTGAACATTGAGCGAGATCGCAGTCGGGAGAGACACAGAGACCCCGACTACTTGTTTGACTCCCAGGATGATGTCTGTGATCCACAGAGCAAGAGAGAGAGGCTTCGAAAGAGTGTCGCACAATTCGAGAGACGCTGGGGGAAGTCTCACAGCAAAAAGCGAAGAGAAGCCCTTCGGGAAAGACATGCTTCACTTGACACTGTACTGGGAGGTTCGTTGAGCGGTCCATTCATCGGTATTGGAGGATCGCTGGAAACCGATGCCACCACTACCGACGAAATAAGCGGGAAACGCTCCGTTCTGGCAAGATTCCTCCGCACTCACCGATACCCAGCTGCTCATTACCGCCTGCTTCAGCGAGATTACTCTATTGACGAGAAATCGGATCGTTTATTTAAAGAATTCAGTCGCACAGAGATTCCACTTGAGTGGGAATCGGCGAGTAGGAGATGTGGTCGCCTGTACACTGGGCGTCGTCTCCACCGTCACCTGGAGGCGGAGGGCTCGCCCAGATCACACCGCCGCAAACTTTCCCCCCAGGACTCTATCGAGGAGGAAGACCAGGTGGCAGCGGCGCTGTGGGAGAGTGAAGTGTCGAGACCAGAGTCTCTCGCTGGGTCCATCGGTGGCGAGGACGTCCCTGCCTTTGCTCTCACCGAAGAAGTTGAATGAATATGTGACTCCCTTTACTCACGTTAAACATTAATCTCGATGATTCTGAGCCAAGGGTACCGCAAAATAATAATCAAATGGAATAATATACATATATATATAAATATATATATATATATATATATATATATATATATATATATATATATATATATATATATATATATATATATATATATATATATATATATATATAATATATATACTGTACAGTGAAAACTGAACACTTTTATTTCTTACGTAAAGGTTAAATAAACCATGTTATAAAGTAATGGACCCAGCCTCAAGAGAATGTCCTAATTGTTGCGACCGCTGGTGAGGGACAGCGTGTGAGTGGTTGTGAATCCTCTTTGTATTACTGAAAGATATACAGCATATCCTTCTCCTAAGAATCTCGTCGACTAGCCTATTATCATTAGTTCTTCTTCTTTACGATTTATGAAAATGTATGAATGGAGGAGTAAATATGTCAAATGCCTAGAAGAGAAAGCCACAAATAAAACAGTGTATCGCACAAAGGGACTTTCTCTTTTGGTAATATGAATCGCTGCTTTCGAAAAGGACGAAAGAAGTAGAAAAAGGAGTGAACATTGTTCTTCGAGTGAGTGTTATTCATAAGGCTTATGACCCTTGCTAAGATAACATTACCTTAGCTCTGACTCCCACTCTCTAAACCTTCAAGTGTGTTCTTGTTGTCTCGAACATTGTTAATGAGATGGTAAACAATAATGCAAAGTAAGTATTACGACGCACTGCTGACCACAGTAGACGGAAGCAAAATAGTAAATGTAAAAAAAAAGTTAGATATCAGTAGACTTAGAATTAGCGTATGGAATCTGGGGGCGGAAAAAAAATAGGTTCAAGAATGTACAGATTCAGCCTTTTGACTTCGAGAAACAAATCATTACTTATAAGTCTAATTAGTACACATAGAAAAGTACTGCATAGGTCCCAATTGTAATTTTAACCATACAAACTGCATCTGATAGACCTTATGAGAGTACATGCGCCGCGGGACCGCAGGAGTAGAGTAGTCCTCCTTCAGGTGAGGTACAGGTGTACTCGGCAATACACATTTGTGATCAATTATAGGGTTAAGAGTCTGTTTTAAGCGATAGATTTTTAACCTATTTTTAGGCCTATATGTAGTGAGAAGAGAGTATAGAGAATCTAAGGCCGAGATTGTACAGAGTCTTATTAGCAAGTTGAACAGCATCCGCCTCATCGTGACACCTACATTTTTTTTTTTTTGAAGTTAGGAATTGTTGGTAAATTGGTTGAGTATCGTGGGTTACATCACCTCGCAGTAGTTCTCTTAAAACAAATCGTATTTTTGTTTAGTGTGTTAGTTCTGCACCATCAGACCCATCTTATTTTATAGACAAAACTGTGATTGCTCAAACTCTACTTTGTATGCGTTCGAAAAGTCCCATATTTTGTATTTTTTTTTTTTTTAAAGATTAGGATGTTGATGTTCTAACCCAAATTTACAATTCCCAATTTGCTCACTCACTTTAGATTACTTTATTGATCAGAGACCTGCGACTGCACAAAACATTATTCACCGAGCTCAGTCGAGTGCGTGTTCTGCCTCGCTCAGACCCATCCACAAGTCTGGCAGCAACACGGGACTTTGAGTGCAGACTCACACATCTCTGATCAATCGGCTGCTGTCTCTTGCGTAAGATCCAATTGAAGAATTGAGGCCTTTATGCTGCAGTTAATTTGTTCTGGTTAAAGAAAAATGTATCTCAAAAACTCTAGATTTATAATAGGAGTGTGTAGAAAGGTGAGGGTGTTGACAGCTCGCAAGTGTGAGAGGTTTGTTACAAGTGCAACATGTATGGAAGAGCTCTGCAGGAAATGCATTATGTGAAATTTCATCTGCAAGAGCCATATTGGTATGAAAATTGTTAACAATTCGTTGCAGTTTATATGTAATTTATATGGAACGAAGATGTGTTTTCTTGGTTTTCAACAGTCAGAAGTGTAGAACAAGTAGTTCCTGAATGTTCCATATATAATGTTAACTGTATTGAGGTATTCGTCGGCAACTGGTACGATAACAGAAAAGTAAGGAAGATATAAAATGAGACGTAAATGGGGAAACTTTTGGGAAATACATCACAAAAAAGCAGCAAGTAGTATCTGTGTCTCAAGCGATTGTAGTTAAACACTTCCTTAAGTCGGGTGTGGTTCATAGCAGCACAACAACTCCATAGTCATTACACTCTGGACATTCTTAAGCAGAACAAGTTAGTCTACAGTATGCTAACTAAGATATGTTAGAGAAGGTTAGGTAAGATGCCTGAATTATTGATGGCTCCTTGACGCTCGCTACAGCTGTGTGGTGGACATAACCACGGAGTTCTATTTTTGCCTGTTGTCTGAATTAGTCATTTACAATAGAAGAACTTTTCTTAACTATTCATAATAATTCTGCTCATGTTTCATTAAGAAAAGAAAGGCATTACTAAATAAGTGACCAAGCAATAGAATTCCTTGGTTGTGTTGACTTTAGTTAGATGTAAGGAACAAAGCCTATCCGAAACAGTAGGTCAAAAGTCATCCACAAAGTAACACTAAGTCGAGTATTTTACTTACATGGCGGAACAAAAGTAAAGCTTGAAGAGCTTGCTGGGTGACGTCAAGCGGTTCATTTACGTAGCAAGAATCCTGAGGATTTACGGGTTTATTCTATAGCAACCTTGTCAGTCCCACCTGTAGATGGCACCACAACATTGCTTACATCTCCCACAAACGACCTTATATAAAGTCTCCGGGTTGTGCATGTAAGGTTTATATGTGCGGACACTACGTCTCTCCGAGTTCCAACACTTTGTTGTTGTTGGTTGAGGGGCGACGACGATCGAGGGATCGGCTGCGCCCCGGCTTCCCGATCAACACTTAGTTTAATGACTCGTTTAGAGGTGCGTCTCCTTGTCAGAAATTAGAATAAGCATGCACCGTAACCTATTTTATTTGAATAACTCAAAGTGTAGGTAATTAGATTTGGAAGGCCTGCCTTCCCCTCCTCCCCCCCCCCTCCTCGTGAACCCAGCAAACAACGGACGACTGTGAGTAACGGACCTTAGGTAACGTCTCGCCCTTGACCAAAGCCGTCCTCCTAAAAATGATAGTACTTATAGCAACTCTTTGATCAGAGGTGAAAAAATGTACCATGGAACCCCCAATTCCCAAACGTGTTGTATTAATGAATTTGTCAAAATTGGTTAAAATGACATTCTCAGAAAATAGAAACGTAACTAATGAACCTAATCTGTCCAAATTATCTTAGGCCTAACGCGCGCTATCTTAGATCTAATATAGTACATGTGATATACTAGTCCTAAGAATATTTAAATTAGTTTTTTCGTGCACTCAGAAAAATTAAAGGTGCAAAAGGGGCTTTTGGGGGATCCAATAGTTCATTTTTGTATGTTTGACTAAATAGTTGCTGCAAGTACTGCCATTTTTGGTGGATGAGTTGTTGACAGTGTTATGTATGTGGCACTGGTCAGGCGACTGTGAAGCACAAGTCAGGCGACTGTGAAGCACCAGTCAGGCGACTGTGAAGCACAAGTCAGGCGACTGTGAAGCACAAGTCAGGCGACTGTGAAGCACAAGTCAGGCGACTGTGAAGCACAAGTCAGGCGACTGTGAAGCACAAGTCAGGCGACTGTGAAGCACAAGTCAGGCGACTGTGAAGCACAAGTCAGGCGACTGTGAAGCACAAGTCAGGCGACTGTGAAGCACCAGTCAGTCGTTCCTTTCGTGTCAGGCTTGGTACCACTCTCTCTGCCTCTTTTCAGCAATACGAAGGTGTGCCCCAAGATAGTGTTCTGAGCACTACTCTTTTTCTGGTTGCCCTCAATGGTCTTCTTTCCTCCCTTTCTTCTGACATCTTCTCCGCTCTTTATGTCGACGATCTTAGTCTTTGCTGTCGAGATGATGATTCGCCTTTCCTTCAACGACAGCTTCAACTTGCGATTGATGCCGTGTCATCTTGAGCCACCAATCATGGCTTCAGGTTCTCTACAACTAAGACTTGTGCTATGACTTTTACTCGAAAGCATGTCGTCCTCCGTCCTTCTTTGTCACTTTATGGTCATCTCCTTGTGTATAAAGATTCCGCGAAGCTTTCTGGGGTTAATCTTTGACACTCGTTTGTCTTGGTCGCCCCATATCTCTTACCTCCGTGTTAAATGTTCTAAGCTCCTTAACCTACTTAAGGTTCTGTCACATACTTCTTGGGGAGCGGATAGGTGAATGCTCCTCTTTTTGCACTCCTCTCTCGTCCTGTCTAAAATCGATTATGGCTGCCCTGCTTACTCTTTTGCTTTTCCTTCTACTCTCCGCCGTCTTGATCCTTAGCACCATACTGGGTTGAGCCTCACTCTGGTGTCTTTCGTTGTACTCCTTCCCTCAGCTTGTACGCTGACACTGGCTTCCTGTCTCTCTAGGACCGCCGAGATCGCTACTGTCTTCGTTACTTTGCGCGATCCTTACAGCATCCTCACTCTCGCCTGAGTCGTGCTTTGACTTTTCCCCTTCCTGTAGTTCCTGTTCCCCCTTCATCACCTCCCTCTTTCTGTCTGGTTGTCTTGCCTGCAACATTCTCTTTCGGTTAGTATTACTAATATTTCTCCTCGTGTTGTTCCGTCCTTGCCCCTGTGGAGGGTCCCCCTTCCTGAATATTGCAAATCCCTGACCCACATCATTGAAGCTTTTACCCCTCCTACAGTTTTGAAACGCCTTTTCCTTGAACACTTTTCTTCACATTCCCGCTCAGTTTCCATCTTCACCGATGGGTCTAGGTCTGTGGACGGTGTAGGCTACTGTGTTGTTTTTCTTGACCACAACAATATGTGTCGTCTGCCTCCGGAGACTAGCATCTTCACGGCATATCTTTATGCTATTATCTATGCTCTTCGTCTCCTGCTTTCTCGCTGTCAAACCTCCTTTGTGGTTGTAGTAGACTCTCGCAGTGCCCTCATGGCTCTGGAGTCCTTTAATCCAGTCCATCCGGTGGTCGTCGAGATTCAACATTTGGTT